TCTTCATTATCAGGTACCTGAATTTCTTCTTGTATCATGTCTAAAGTCTCTTCTGGAGATCCTTCGGAAATTTTTTCTTCAATTTGACCATCATCAATCAATGCTCCTTTTCTTTTCCGAGGATTCTTATCTTTGGAACCTATTGGTCTTCCACGTTTTTGGCGTGGTTTAGACTCATTAGCAATTTTATTTTGTCCTTCCGGGACATCTATTTTAAATGGAGCATTAACAGCTGGAATATGCGACTTGGTCACTCTTTTTGGGTCAGCAAACGAGTCTGGCAATTGATTCGCTAAACTTTGTAAATGAATTATCTTTTGAACTTCCAGTTCACATTGTTTAGTTCGAGGATCAAGATAGGATAATGATAATTCATTCCATTTAATTTCATTTTCCAGCTCTCTCTTTTCTCCCCCTAATCTTGGGAAAAGTGACTCGTTAAAATGACAATCTGCAAAACAAGCCGTAAATAAATCCCCTGTTGTAGGCTCAAGATATTTAATTATTGACGGGGATTTAAACCCAACATATATCCCCATCCTCCTTTGAGGACCCATCTTAGTGCGTTGTGGTGGAGCTATTGGAACATAAACCGCACATCCAAAAATTCTTAGATGGGAAATATTTGGTTCCTGACCATAAACCAATTGTAATGGGGAGAACTTGTGATAACTTGTTGGCCTAATGCGAATTAGTGTTGTTGCATGTAATATAGCATGTCCCCAAGCAGAAATTGGGAGATTGGATTTCATAAGCAATGGTCTAGCAATTAACTGAATACATTTTATTAATGACTCTGCTAGACCGTTTTGTGTATGAACATGTGCTACAGGATGTTCAACATTTATCCCAATGGACATGCAATAATCATTAAAAGCTTGAGATGTAAATTCACCAGCATTGTCAAGCCGAATAGTCTTAATGGGAGTATCTGGAAAATGTGTCCGTAACTTAATCAATTGGGCAAGTAGTCTCGCAAACGCCAGGTTACGAGTTGATAACAAAGACACATGTGACCATCTAGTTGATGCATCAATTAAAACCATAAAATATCTAAATGGTCCACATGGGGGATGTATGGGCCCACAAATATCTCCTTGTATACGTTCCAGAAAACTAATTGATTCAAAATTAATTTTAGCTGGTGATGGGCGAATAATCAACTTGCCTTCCGAGCAAGCAGCACATGAAAAATTATTATGAAGAATCTGCTGGCTCTTCAAAGAATGTCCACATGAATTCGTAATTATTTTTCGCATCATTATTGAACCGGGATGGCCTAACCGGTCATGCCAAACAACAAAATCATTAGTAAACTTCTGGTTTACTATAGCATGAGCTTCAATAACATTGATTTTTGTGTAGTACAAACCACTAGAGAATGTAGGTAGTTTCTCCAAAACATGTTTTGAGCCTTGAGTTATATTTGTGATTTGAAGGAATTTGTTATTTTCTTCATTGATTGTCTCAATATGATAACCATTATTGCGAATATCCTTAAAACTTAATAAATTTCTTTGAGACAATGGGGAGTATAAAGCATCAATTATTTTAATTTCAATTCCCCAAGGCAACTTTATAGTGGCTCTTCCGGAGCCCTCAATGATATTTGTACTACCCGATATGGTACTTACATTAATCCTTTTCATCATCAAATGAGAGAAATATTTTTTATTTTTAAGTATTGTATGTGTAGTTGCACTGTCAGCAAGACATAATTATTCACCATTCATAGCAAATTGAACTTGAGTAATATCCATGTTCTTCATGAAATAAAATACATGTCAAAATATTAAGCATAAAAATAAAAATGATAAAACAAATAAATCAATAAAAACACTCAAATAGTTCATAAATTTATAAAGCAAAAATCCTTATTACAACGAAAGAAATAAACTTAAATAAATTACTAGAATAAGCAAACATAAGTCTAATACTTAAAACTGACATAATACAATATAATTTTAATTATTCCCTTCTGGGGCAGTGAAGAAATCGGCAACTTCTAAATGAGTTGTACTGTCAAAATCAAAATTATTCCCTTCCGGGGAAGTAAGGAAATCACCAACATCAAATTGATTGGCATTGCCAAAATCAAAATCACCTTCACCATCTTCAAGAACAAGGTTTGCCTCAACTTTCTTTCCTTTCTTCAATGATTCTTGGTAAAGTTCAATAAGATGCTTTGGAGTTCTATAAACCCGAGACCAATGACCTTTTCCTCCACAACAGTAACATATATTGTTATCACTTTTCTCTTTTTCATCCCTACGTTCCCACATCTGGTGGGAATGTGAGTTTGTGAAATGACCTCCACGACCTCTACCATATCCACGTCCACGACCCCGGCCGCGTCATTGGCCACGACCACGACCTCTACCTCGACCTCTACTGCTGGAATGGTCCCTGTTTTTAGTTTCTTTCCTGTTATGGGTTGTCACATTCGCTTCAGGAAATGGAGTAGAGTCAGTAGGACGTGATTCATGATTTTTCATTAACAGCTCGTTATTTTGCTCAGCCACAAGAAGACAGGATATTAATTCAGAATATTTTTTAAAACCTTTTTCTCTATATTGTATCTGCAGGACAATATTATTAGCATGGAAAGTGGAGTATGTCTTTTCAAGCATTTCTGCATCAATAATATTTTCTCCACATAATTTCAATTGAGAAGTTATTTTAAACATAGCTGAGTTATATTCACTAACAGATTTAAAATCTTGCAATCTCAAATTTAACCATTCATAACGAGCTCTAGGGAGTATCACTGTTTTTTGGTGGTCATACCTTTCCTTTAGATTACTCCAAAGAATTTGTGGGTCTTTCACAGTTAAATATTCATTTTTGAGCCCTTCATGGAGGTGATGGCGAAGAAAAATCATGACTTTAGCCTTATCTTGAGGTGTTGCCATATTAGCCTCTTTTATTGTTTCACCAAGCCCTTTAGCATCTAGGTGTATTTCAGCATCTAACACCCATGATAAATAATTCTTTCCGGTAATATCAAGGGCCACAAATTCGAGCTAGGTTCGACATTTTTCACTATACAAAATAATATTAAAAGATAAGTATATATAAATAGTATTCAAAAATATGTATTAAACGTTATAATCATGCATAAATAAACCTGATACAAATCATGCATAAATAAGAACGAAATAGAAGGGGAGAATGTTAGCATGGAGAAAAATAAAAATGGAACCTTAAATTATATATCATGCTCTGTATTCGTTATATATGTTGATATTCCAATAAATAAGCATGCAAAAGTAGATAAATGTTAAATTATAATTGTTATGGGCTGCGATCATACTTACATGATAATAATAATATGGATTCTAGATAAATATTTGGTAATCCTACTCAGTTGACTAGCAATGGTGCTGATAACGTGTTAAATATGGAATAGAAAATAAAGAGAGACGAGGGAAGATTGTTACGTTGTATTTCATATTCCATCTAGTACGGGATATATATAATGTACATTTCCTAGGGTTCCATCAATGGATAAGACCAAATACCCAACTCTAGAATATTTTAGATTGTACATGGAATAATAGTCATCCATATTTAGATATTATCATAACAAACCGTAGTTTTTTTTTTTTTTTAATATATTCCGTTAGGTCTCTTGCTTCGAGAATATTAAAAAGAAAAAAATAAAAAATAGTGTGAAACTGTGAACAAAGTAAAGGGGGAATGACGAAATAATTATCGGAACAATTATCGGAACTAGTTGGACTTATAAAAATAAGGAAATGAGGCACGACTCATTTGACTACGACATGATGGTCAACTTTACAATCTACGTACAAACATTCACGTCTCTGCTGACGCTGTTGCCTGACTTGCCTCCCTCTAATCATTTACAGAATATTAGTTTTTTAGCATTCAAATTAATAAAAAGGGTAATGCTATATGCAGCCGCCTTTAGGGTTGTATATAAGCATTTAATATCTTTCTTTTTTTTAGTATTAAATTGGGAATTTATCAACAATTCACGAGTAAATTGGTGTAATAATTGTATAATTATTGTCAATTCTTTTCACTTTTAGCTTCTTATATGCAACCCTTAAGACTCCATATATATTATAAGTACGAGTACTACTTTTGAGATAATCAATTAACTCAGTGCTCCACTACATATCGTTCTTATTACGGAGTATATTATGATCAATTATAATGTTTCAAAAAAAAAAAAATTACTTAAAGCATACGGATGTATTGCCGTATAGTAGTAGTATCACACTATCATTACATCACATAGGACCTAATCAATCCGAATTAGACTTGATTAGCCTTGAAAGTTAAAGTGACATGCTGTCATCCTAAGTTATACGAAATAATAGTTATCTAGCGTTATATTTTGCTGATTGAGCTAATTATTTTCCAATCTCATTCTTCCATAGAGAAAATTATGTATTAATGGTTTGCTACTCTGCTATATTATATTCCAATGTCAAAACCAGTTAGGCCCTGTTCTGATACGATTATTTTCAGTTTAGTTCAGTTCAGTTCAGCTCTAATAAGATATTTTAATGTCAAAACCAGTTAGAGCATGTTCTGATACGATTATTTTCAATTCAGTTCAGTTCAGTTCAGCTCTAATAAGTTCAGTTCAGCTCCTAATTTCCTTCTCTTATAAAATATCCAGTTCAGTTCAGTTCAGCTCAACTCTAATAAGTTAAGTTAAGTTAAGTTAAGTTCAGTTCAGCTCTAATAAGTTCAGTTCAGTTCAGCTCAATTCAGTCAATTAGAACAGGCCCTTAGTCATATGGATTTTGCAACTAATTCAAGTGACCATTCCCAATTTCCTACTCCAACTTTCATAAGCATCAAAAACATGTTTAATAAAATAATAAAAAAAAATCAAAATAAAAAAACAGAGCTTCCCAAATATTATTAGAGCCTAAAGGTTCCTTTTTTTTTTATTATTATTATTAGAGCCTAAAAGTTCCTTTTTTTATTATTAGACCCTAAAAGTTCTTTTTTTTTAAAAAAAAAAAAAAAAATAGAGCCTGAAAGTGCATGTAACTGTAAGTAAACATACAGTTATACAATTGCTGGCTTGCACCACCTTATAGTTCAATGTAACAAGCCAAAATTCCAAAACTGTAATGTTGTACTTCATCATTTGTCCCTCAGAATTGAGCATTGTATATTTATATATACAACTCCTCATCTTTAACAAAAGAATCAGAAATAGCAGCATCTTTGACAATGCAAGATGAAACAATTCTCTCATCTTTGAATAACTATAGTAATAAAAATAAAATTAAGCCTTTTAATTCCTATTAAGATAATCTGCTAACAGCCCTTTCAAGCAGATTATTTACAGATAATGTAAATGCATCATCAAATCGTGTTAGCTTAGCGTCTTCATGTGCATAAACCAACCGAGGCATCAGTTCCTCGATTATATAGTTCCTCATCTGTTGCCTTTCCACTAGAGGGATTTTCAGAAGCTCGTTTACCACGTTCATCTCGGACATCTTTACCTCCTCTTGGTCTAAATACACTGAATACTTCCTGTGATCCTCGGGCAAATGCCAGGGATATTGGTAGTGTGCTGTGAAAGGATCAAAGACAACCGGAATACAGCCAGCAATGAGGGCATCAAACACTGATTTTCTTGTTGGACTATCCCCTGCAGGCTGCAGGCAGAATTCTGATTCCATGAAAAGTTTCATTACAGCTGCAGAATCAGCACATTTCTGTTCTCCACAGTCTAAGAAGTTGCACACTCTAGGGGCAGAAGCGCATTGCTCGATTAGGACTGATCTTATGCTCCCCAAGGCCCTGCGCGGTGCACCTGCAAAGCTGATCAAGTTCATCCGATTCATCTGCTTGATTTTCTCCTGCCATGCTATGATCTCTTCATCTGACTTTGGGTGGAAGTTGGTTGGGTGTGGGATTCCCACGTCGTTGGGATGCCAAGGTTGTCGTTCTATCAAGAGCTTCATCGGGTTTTGGAGCTCATCTAGCTCTAAGAGGCGGCTCCCCCAGGAGACATTCTCCCACCTCCTGAAATCCCAAGAGATTTTTCCTAGGACAAACACATGATCCAACCCAAAGTTTCTCCTCCACGTCTCATACGGTTCAAGCCACTCTACAAGCTCCTCAGAGAGTGAATCCTTCACGTTAATAGGGGCCTTATTAAAGTGCCACCTTAATATATCCATCCCACCGTAGAAGGGCACAAAAAAAAGCTTGGCCTCCTCTGCATTGTGGACTCTACAAGGGTGTTTGAGTACGCGATTGTGGAATATTGGCTCCAGGGAATACTGGTAGGTGTTATACCACCCTTCCCCTAGCTCTGGCATAGGCTCACCCATTGCACCGTTGGTGAAGTACTTACAAAAGTCGAGCCACGACATCATCTCATTGCACTTGGCTAACAAATCCTTGTTGAACTTGGAAGGCAGGTCATACACATATATACCTCTTCCCTCACAATTTAAGGGCTTTTCCTTTGCAATGTAGGTTCGCAAGGTTGCTAGTTGTTCTTCGACGTTCTTCCTAGCATTTGCTATCTCCTCTGCCTTTTCCTTACCTATGCCCTTCCGGAGGACTGGCTTTGAAAACTGATACAAGCTCGACGATTGGGATGATATCATTAACTCTTTTGTACTTCCATCATTTACTACAGGCAGTTGAATATCAATGCTGTCCCTGATTGGATTAATAACTGCTGTGTTTCGGGTTAATTGTACAGCCCCTTCAGTCTTTTCTTCAGAAGCAGAGTTTTTGGTGTTTTCAGCTGCAGTTAAAAGGCTAACAGGCGAAAACACAGGCGCTTTCTGGCTGTTATTCAGGACTAAATTTGTGCTTCTTTGAACAGCTGAAAATTCAGAGCTATTGCTAATCAAAGGAATATCAAAGCCGGAAGGTTGAGCACCAGCAGAAAGACAGTAGAGGTTGTTAAGTTTCCTAGACGTTACACAAACATGGAAAATAGAACCGGAAATTATAGTGGTGGAAGAAGACCATATGAAGATGATAATAATAAAAAGTAAAGTCACAGGAATTCTGCTCAGAAAATTAAACAGACATGACTTAATTAAGCCGCGCTCTTCCTCTTTCTTGTATGATTTCTTTGATTTCTTCTTAGACAATGAGACTGCCATTTGGAAGATATCTGATGTTATTACTCTTAGCCATGTTAGCTCCTAGTTTTGTACGACGAAAAAGTTCTAAGAGTAGTCTGCAGTAACTGATGGCACGTCGAAAACTTACAGACCTGCACGTCCTTCAGCTAACAATATAATGTGCAATCCAAGGTGACATATCATAGAAGCATAAACATGTTAGAATACAATAGTATTATTGGTCTTAATTTATTATAAATTGGTCAGCATATTGAAGCAGAAACCTGTCATAAGCTCCTCACTGATCGACGTGCTATATGATTTCATCATAATGATCTAACAACAAATAATTGACACTAAATTACCAAATTTCATGACCATATGATATGTTAGTCGTTGGCATTCAACAATAAATCAAAAGCTAATGTATGATTATATTATAAGTCAATGATGACAATTTTCAGGATCTGGTCATTGCTTGTGATTCTACTCAACTGATTTCCTTCATCTTTGGCACGAACCTTTTATTCGGCTTCACGTAATCAAAATATTTGACAGCTAGTTTTTCGGAATCAGCTGTTGGTTACCGGAACAAGGTCACGAAACGAGCGAGCTCCACTTAAACTTGATGAAGCCCAGCTAGGCTACCATAATGTCATGTTCTTTCATACTTCAATACTCCAAATAAAATTTGTATTCTTCTGACCTTTGATATTTTAACTATCATCCTGTATCATGTGATAGTTAAGCTGTCCTTTTCCAAGGGAGCTAAATTACAATTAACTCTTATATTCATTATTCTAATATTCTTTACCTTGAAGAATCTAATGATCTTAATTGCACCAATGGTCAACACTTAAAATACTTGTATATACAGTAAAGTAGCAGATGTTAATTGTTTAAACTCATTATTTTAAACATTGGCTAGAATTTGCTACTTACCATAGGATTAAGACAATGCATGTACGCCCCTGCGCCTGCCCTTACCCTGCATATGCAAAAACCTTGTTAAGATGTAGGAACGATTTCCAACTAAGACTCCTACGACATATATGTTCCAGTACTGAATGAGTCGTCTAGGTAATACTTACAATTTTTAACACGTAACAACTCCTCTGTACAACAATAATAATTGCAACTACGTCGTATTAACTTCTGATATGGCTCAGCTATATATTGTTATCTGCACACAGCATTATTAACAAAGTGCTCAGCAGAACAAGTGGAAAACTACACAATAATTTCAGTCAAAGGTTGAAAATGAGATCTCTAATATAACAGGAATAATTTAACCTTAAAATTTCAGAATACTATATGTGTTAGCAAAGCAGAAGACAGCATAAGTTGAGGGGGCATTAAAGGCAAACCTATGACGAAACCTAAGATGCCTCATATACAGATCTGCAGCTAAAGACTTGGAGTTGTACATGTGCCAAAGAATCATCTTTATAAAAAATCTTTACAAAAACAAAAATCTTAATAATAAAAAAAAAAAATGGATTGCAAAAATTGTCTTCAATTTTGCTTCAATGCTTAGCAAATTTGCAATTGTTGTTGTAATTTGTAAATACTGTATGACTTTCTATTAACGACAATTTTTTCTAACCAATGAAAAAAGAAAAAAAATCTAGCTTAGTTTCTAAAAAGAATAAAACAACCTTTAATTTCCTACTCAAGGGAATTTGATAATCGCCCTTTCAAGCAGATTATTCACAGCTAGAGTGAATGCATCTTCGAATTTTTCTAACTTGGCGTCAGCTTGTGCATAAACCAACCTAGGCATCAACTCATCAATGATATACTTCCTCATCTGTTGCCTCTCTTTCAGAGGGATCTTCACAAGCTTCTCTATTACATTTACTCCTGACAACTTTACCTCATCTTGGTCTATATACACCGAATACTTCCTGTGATCCTCAGGAAAATGCCACGGATATTGGTAGTGTGCCGTGAAAGGATCAAAGACCACAGGGATGCAGCCAGCAATGAGAGAATCAAACATCGACTTTCTTGTAGGACTATCCCCGGGAGGCTGCAGGCAAAACTCTGTTGCCATGAAAAGTTTCTCAACAGGTGCTGATTCAACACATGATTCTCCTATACAATTCAAGAAGTTGCACGCCTTGGGGGCAGCAGTGCACTGCTCAATGAGAATCGATCTTATGCTCTCCCAGCGCTTGTGTGGAGTCCCGGCAAAGCTGATTAAGTACTTTCTTTTCAGCTTCCTGGTTTTCTCCTGCCATGCAATGATCTCTTCATCTGATCTAGGATGGAAGTATGTTGGGTATGGGACACCAACCTCGTTGATATTCCAAGGTTGTCGTTCAATTAAAAGCTTCATTGGGTTTTGGAGCTCCTCGAGCTCTAATAGGGGGCTCCCCCATGACACATTCTCCGTCCTCCTGAAATCCCAAGAGATTTTCCCTAGAACAAACACATGATCTAACCCAGAGTTTCTCTTCCACATCATCTGCTGCTTGAGCCACTCAACGATTTCCTTAGAGAGAACATCTGAATCATTCATGCCGCTGCCATCCTTACTAAAATGACATCTTATCATATCTATTGCACCATAGAAAGGAACATAGAAAACCTTGGCCTTCTCTGCCTCCTGAACTCTGCAAGGATGCTTCAGGATACGATTGTGGAATATTGGCTCTAGCGAAAACTGATGGCTGTTATACCATCCTTTCCCCAATGCTGGTATAGGCTCACCCATTGCTTCATTTGTGAAGTATTTACAGAAGTCAATCCACGCCATCATCTCATTGCACTTAGCTAGCAAATCCGTGTTGAACTTAGGAGGCAAGTCATACACATATATCCCTCGTCCCTCACAGCTGGAGGGCTTTGACTTTGCAGTGTAGGATCGCAAGATCGCTAATTGCCCCTCCACAGCCAACCTAGAGTTCGCTGTCTCCTCTGCCTTAGCCTTGTCTATGCCCTTCCGGATAACTGGCTTTGTAAACACAGAATCTCCCAACGCTGGTGATGGTATCATCAGCTCATCTTCCGCACTTTCATCACTAGTTTGGCTCTTGCTACTTACAGAAAGTCGGATATCAGGGCTATCCCCAATATCTGAAACCGGGGTGGTTACAGGGCTGACAGAAGAAGAAACTACAGAATTTTGGGTTATATTTACATCCTCCTTAATCTCATCTTCTGCAGCAAAACTTGTGTTGTTTTCAGCTGCAGTTGAAGGACTAACAGATGAAAAAACAGGGTTTATCTGGGTGTTACTTTGGTAAACAGGACTTTCAGAACTTTCATTAATCAAAGAAAGAGTAAAACCGGAATTTGTGGATATACCAGGACCACCAAAAGAAATACAGTTGGGGTCGTTAAGCTTCCTAGACCTTACACAAACATGAAAAATCGAACCTGATATAAGTATGGTAGACGAACACCAGATAAAAAGTATCAAAAGAAGACAAACAACCGTGGAAATTCTCTTGAGATTTCTGAACAGACACGGATCAAAGAAGCACTGCTCCTCTGATTTTTTCCTCTCCATTTTTTTGTGAGCTCTCTATACAAAGCTAAACCTCTCGGCTAATCTCCTGCCTTTATAACTTCAACGGTAATCCTCGAAAAGTTGGCAGGCACGTTTATAACTTGCAAGCCTGTACATGAGCACTGCCCAAATCGTATAAAAACATTACTTATAGAGAGACTTAAACACATAAAAAACTACGCGATCAGATAAATATTTCCATTTTAATTGGAGTAAAACAACAGCCGGCTAGACGTCGCAGTCACGACCATCATGACAAGTTGTTGGTAACAACCATTATATCATAATATATTAACGATTAAGTAATCATTAACTTGAAATTCCCATGTTTATATTTCAAAGTATAACATTACATCGTATAATATAAGATCAGAGAACACAGGATCTGGTCCCTCCAATCTGTTACAACCCCTCTAATAGGCAAAAGGGTCGGAAACAGCTTATACACGTGCATAGTCTGTTGTTATAAAACAAAAATTATCAAGGAATAATATTGGACCATCTATTGATTTAAACCTTTGTCATACTTGTATTTAACTCCTCCTTAAAATGACATGCTTACCTCTAAGGTTACCGCGTTCGACGCCGACTCCGGTGGTTGGATTAATAATCTCTGCTGGTTGTATTTGTTTATTTGATGGTGGCTGTTAAAATAGTAGAAGAATGATGATTATACTTTGATATGATTTCTCCCCTAATATCATTAGTTTAAGGCTTTTTAACTTTCCTTGCTAATTACACTTGCCTTATTTTAATATCTCATTTCTTTTTCATTGTTACTGGATTAATGTAAAGTGGGTCATTAATTTGTATGAATACAAGTTTGATACTCTTTGCTTTCGTTTTATTATTGGTTGTTAAGTATTTTAAACGCGTTTAATTTGACTAGTTTTAGGTGTTCAAGTAAGAATATTCTTTATGAGGTGGTGGCCTGGTGAGGTGTTGATTGTTCACTTTAATCCCTTTTGCTTTTCAAATTTAAATTATGACCTTTAATTAGTCAAATTATATATTGATTACAATTATAATATTCATTACTGTTATGTTATTTAAAAAATAAAATAAAATAATATTCATTACTGTTAGGAGATTTGAAATATTTGAGATTAGGGAGATAATAAATACTGTGGTATATTTTACATACTGTTATAAGGTTTTGATTAAGTAAGTTTTGAAATATTTGAGATTTGGGAAATTATAAATATTGTGGTATCTTTTACATATCGTTTTTATAAGGTTTTGATTTATTGAGATTTTGAAATTATTTGAGATTTGGGAAATTATAAATATTGTGGTATATTTTTAATACTGTTATAACTTATAAGGTTCTGATTAAGTGAGATTTTGAAATTTGGGAAATTATAAATATTGTGGTATATTTTACATACTGTCTAGTTTTGATCAAGTAAGATTTTGATATATTTGAAAATTAAATTACGGAGTATAAATATTACGAAGTATTTTACATAAATTAGGTTTTGATTTAGAGAATACCCCAGAACATCTAAAGATTCAGTAATCAGTATTCAGTACGTAAGTTAGGATTGTTTCCTAATAATCAAGATTAGCTACGGTATACCATCTGGTTTGGTAGTTGTCAAAATTGTTACAGAGTATATTTTTTTTTGGGTACTCTGTAACCCTTGATTAAAGGCCTCTCATCTGGTCATCTATGTACGCGTACGCAGTCTTAAAGCACAACGCGTACTTAGTTATGTCCGTATTCCAATTTACACCGTATGGGCAGGGACTAGAAAAACAGAACAAAACAAAAGAAAAGAAAACTAGCACAAATTTCCAATCTATTCTGTTAGGGTAGACAACACTTCAGAAAGGAAACCCACAAGCACTTCATAGTTAATTTACTCATATGGTTGTACGGTTTATTATTGTACAAAATGCTTGCTGTAAAGGCAAACCACTAAAAAAAACTACACAAAAACTTAAAAATCAAAAGTTAAAGCAAGATCTAGGACATGCCTTAAATAATCTGACCTCAAATCTACAGCATACTGTCAGTCCTAGCAGGCAGACGACGGAAGAAGTTGATGGGCACTGAAGGCAAGCGATAACGAAACCTAGGATGTCTCAGGGCGTAGAACCCAGCTAAAGCAGCAATCACTTGAAATGGAGTAACATACAGCACAATAGCAGCAACAAGACAGAACGTCACAAAGATGGCTGTAGCACGTGGATCCCGCCAGCTTAAGAGAGCCTGGAACCGCTCACCTTGAGTTGCAACATCACCAACCACGGTTTGAATCCTTCCAGCCACACTCCTCAGCCGATCATACCTCATTCTCACAAGCTCCGGACTCTTGCTAGTTGGGAAAGTGTCAAACTCCTCATCAAGTTCATCAGGAAGGGAAGTATCAGCCTGTGAGATCTTAATATTCATATGTGGAGGGTACCTAGGGCGGTACCTATAGTTCCAAATCCCGATCAAAAACATGTAGAGGAAGACTGTAGGCAAGATCAGCTCGGGAAAGCAAACGAGCATAAGAAAGAGAATGTGCACGAGGACTGTGGTTATAGGATTTCTCCACATGCATACATCACCAAACCATTTACCAACAGCAAATAATCCTGAGAAGACTGACATGAGGCGGAAGAAATTTGCCTTGCTTCTCCGCATGCTCCAGAGATGGGCATCCACATCAGACATGTACTCCACCACCTCCTTTCGGAGTGGAGGTTCTGCTCGGCCAAGCCTCATAGCAACTATATTCATGGCTTGAAAACGTAGCATGTCCTGCTGCATTACTGTGAAGGGTCTAACATAGTGCATTTTTGGTAAGAGGGGACGTGAATACTGATACATCATGTTCGCAAATGAAGTGCAGGAATACCTAAGAGCCAAATGCAGCTCCCCCATCTTTTTAACTCCGTTTGGTTGAAGAACAAGCAAGGGATATGAATGTGTATAGATACGGCCAGTTTCAAGGGTAGAGATACGTATCCGTACCTTCCCTATCTTGACGTCCTTGTGCACTCCACTTGATTCCTTCCCTCCAATTTGACAGTTGTCAAACACACCCACTGTTATAACGGTTGCAGGGTCAAAAACTTCCCAAGTATACTGCTCATTGTATTTTGGAGAGAGGCTGTCAACCAGTGTTCTTGTTCTGACCCACTTATGACCATACTTCGCAACACAATACGTATCTGATGTACCTCTCCCATCCCTTGTTTTCATCGGGTGGAGTCCTTCAGCACTTAATATGCCCAATTCTAAGACACCTATAGTAGGCTTCCAGAGCTGTTTTGCTGTGGGGCGAAGATCACTGCTGTAATGAGTGGACTCATCAAGAACATGGTAACCTCCATCTAAACACACACGAATATGAAGCCGGCTCGCAAACTTCTCTTTCTTCAGTTGGTCAATATCCACAGCAACCGGCTTCTCAAGATGAAACCACCGAGAAGGAATGAGCCGGTCATCTGCACGCCTATCGACTTGAGTCAAGGGGATGATAACTCTTCCAATGATCTCATCTTTACCAGGAGCCACACGATCCTCAACAGTGAGAACCAGATGGTCATCAAAGGGCTCTGCTGCAACAAACAGTAGATCCTCATTCCAAAGGGAGTTCAGTGTACGAGCCTGAACAGGTTTAGTCTTCATAATTTGGTGACCAATCTGTGCCTTGCAGAAAACTTCAGGAAATCGGTTTTTTTCATTAGGTATCAAATCCTGTGCTTCAATAACATTAACACGTACATACCACAGCCTTGGGGCATGATAAACCTTTGAGCGCAGAAGTGCTGAAGCAGCAGAAGACTGAATATCAATACCAGCTGTATCTGAATGCCATGCTTCTGAATATGCTTCATCAGCTTGAGTACCAAGCCAGACAGCAAGCATTAATTCACCTTTTACCTTTTCACCCTTCTTATCCTCAAGACGGTACCATTGAGGAGCTAATGGACTATCTGGGGGAACCCTGCTTGGCACCTCATGCAAATCAAATCTTACAATGCCAACGAAATCATCTTTAATTAAATCCTTGTCCTTGACCTTTACTTCAAGAACTGAGGCCTGCAAACGATCCTTTGAAAAGGCAAACACCACATTCCATTCCGGATGATCATTCTTATCTAGGTGCTTGGTCACACCTTTATAGTTTCCTATTCTCACCTCCACAAAAGGGTCAATACTACCAGTAAGATCCATATTAGGAAGATCATGGGCTTTAACAACTCTGACATAAAGGAACTGCATCCGTTCCACAAGATCATATGTGCTTGAAGTTTTATCAGCATGAACAATACGTCCCCCAATTACTCGTCCCCCTCCAAGGTATGGGCTGGTCTCTTTGAGAGCAAAGTCAACTGGTTGTGCGGCAGAAGCAGAGTGCATCCTGACAATCTTGGGCGGTGGTGCTTGAGCTTTCATTTTCATTTCTTCAACTTCTTGATAAGTTGCCTCACGAGAAGTGTTCACAGGACCACCATGATTATGTTGATGGTCTTGATGAGGATGAGGCTGCGGATGAGAATGAGAATGGGAATGGGAATGATCATGAGAATGAGAATGGCTGGTGTTAGGTAAATGACGGAAAGTGTGTCTGACTTCAGATTTTGGAGCCTGAGCATGGTTGTGTATTACATTAGTTTCAGCAGCAGGAGTGGACGACTTAATGGTTGGATCATTTGTGATAAAAACTTTGAGACCAAGCTCTCCTTTGATGCGAGAGAAGATGCCACGCTTTTCCAGAGGGTAATGCAAGACAACTGCATCAGAGTGGGGAACAAATGAAGTCCCACTAAGAGAGACCTTACCAAGAAATGACCTTGAGTTTGTGGCTCTGTTATGATTGTATACATAAACATCAAGAGCTAGATGAGGTAGGACAGATGGATCAGATATATTGAAATAGAAGGTCTCGTCCCAAACTGGGCTGAGATCCTTTTCCTTGACAGTGGTTCGGAATTTCTGTCCATCAAAATGAAGCTCAGCAAATGCACTTGATGATCCTTGGCCATCTTTTGGCATAAGATCATGTGCACTAACCACATGTACTCCCAGTTTCAAATTGTTCATGGTTAGGTTGGCCGATGGGCAATGCTGCTAGCTGGGTGCGGATGACAAATTGGCTTGCAAGTTTGCAATACCTAAAATTAAGAAGATAACAATTAATATTTGGAGATATTGCAATATAAATGGATGACATAATAATAAATGGAATATTCAACTTTATATTACTGTTTTGTGGTCTGGTCAATTGCCATTTAGATTGAGAAATAATAAGAAATAACCTCTTTGCAATTCTAGGGTTAAGGACTTGAGGCCACAGGCATTGAAACAGGCAGTCTAATCCATTCATCCCACCATGGGCAGGAGCTTGGTTAGAAGCGTTGGAGAAACGGTATGGTAGGGTAGTTATACAAATAAATTAGAAAATAATATCAGTAAGGGGAAATAACACATCAAGCCAATGATTAAAAGAAAATATAAGCTTTCTTCTTCAAGTGATATAGAGATGTTATGTTCCTATGTACTCCCCAAAAATTATCTTGTGCGGTCTAATTAAAAGCAAATACGTAGTCATAGTCTAATGTATTGATGGTCAGCATAATACAGGGAGGACACTGTCCGCTAACACTATGATAGTGGTGTCACAGTTTAACAAAAATCAAGATAAAAAATTCCAGATCTTGTAAAACCATTTCAGAAACTCAGGTCATAACAGCAAGCAAAATGAACCACATGAACAACAGGGCTCATGTTACTTGGAGTTGTGGCCTGTGCATCTAAGGGTTGGACCGAGTTACTTTGAAGAGCTTGGTTGTTTTGTCTTATTTGAAGTTTTTAAAAATTAAGTCAAATCCAAGAGTTCAAGAGCTGGATGCAGATAGTCCTGCAGGTCTAATAGAGAAGAGTGGAGACTTTTCTCCAGCAGATCTTGGGTGGGGGGGACTAGCAAACTTGCAAGAAATAAATGTTCTTGAGCCAGTGTAAACAGGATCCCTTGATAGAGTGTTCATACTTTCTAGTCAAGCTGGAAAAAAGTTTTACTGAACATTAACACAGTTTTACAAAATGCCATGGATCAGAAAAAGAAAAATTCAGCACAATAAAAGAAGGTTCATTGCAAATATTACATGCATAAAAACAAATTAAATCATGTGGTATGGTCGTTGTCACACTATCCTAACGAACTAACAACTAAATCCAAAATTTCATCCACGTAAAGCGGATTCAGAAAGCAGTAGATGAAATAAGAGTTGCTGAACTTCAAAAAAAGTTAGAAGTAACCTGATGGTAAGTAAATTGATCAAGATTCAAGACTTTGTTTATTCCTTTCAGCTTGTTTTTTTCACTTCAGATTCTAAGAAACTGTTTAGGTAAGCCAAAAGTTGATATTGAATCCTTTCTTGTAACAAAAGCTCATAATGCCAATAGTATTAGCTCTAAAGTATACAATCTAAGATTATTGTATTTCTTTTTTTGGACAGATTGAAAATGAAAGTTAACATTTTTGGAATGATGGGAACTTACAAAAGTGAGATTTAGGAAGTAGGCAACAAGTCAACACTTTCTCAAGCATGTGCATGGTCTAAATTCTAGGAGATCTCAAAGTACTAGTAACTTTAATATATTATAGATTATACACATACATGTAGAAGGTACTCTTATAAATTTAATAATTTAAGGTCTAAGGGTCTTAATCTTCATTTAAAATGATAAATTAATAAAAAAAATACACTTGATTACGTAAAAAGAGTCCTACACTCCAAATCTTAATTAATAGAAATAAATGAATAATAAGTTCAAGGGTCCTAATCTTCATTAATAAAAAAAAACTAACATAAAAAAGGGTGGTCCAAATTTTGAAAAAAAAGGTTTAGGGATCCTAATTTTCACTAAAAAAAAAAAAAAGAGGGAGGGGGGGGGGGGGGGGGGGTTTAAGGGTCCTAATCTTCACTAATAAAAACAAATGAATACAAAGTTTAAGGGTCCTAATCTTCAATATTAGTATAAATAAAAAAAATTAAGGATCCTAATCTTCATTTAAAAAAATTTAAAAAAAAAATAAAAAGTGGGTGTTTAAGTGTCTTATTCTTCATATAAATAAAGGTTTAAGGATCCTAATCTTCATTTAAAAAAAGAAGGGTGTTTAAGTGTCTTAATCTTCATATAAATAAAGGTTTAAGGATCCTAATTTTCATTTAAAAAAAAATACTCTGTAGTGTTTAAGTGTCTTAATCTTCATATAAATAAAGGTTTAAGGATCCTAACCTTCATTTTTTTTTAAAAAAAATACTCGTAGTGTTTTAGTGTCTTAATCTTCATATAAAAAAAAGGTTTAAGGTTCCTAATCTTCATTTTAAAAAGGGGTTAAGTGTTCTAATATTCAAATAAATAAAGGTTTAATTAAGTGTCCTAAAAGCACGCTAATTACACATGATCTGTTTAGCAAATTCAACAAAATTAAATAAATACATTGACTACTTTCTATGGAATCTCAAAAACCACACATTTGCGAAAAGGGTAGAAAAGTCATTATCCAAAACTACTTATGTATATTGCATATTCCAACAATAATTTGGGATCCATTTTAGTATCTCAATCAAATCCTTTTACCTTTTTTCCTGATAAAAAAGGTACCAGAAAATCCAAATTAAATAATAAAAAATGTAAACAACTTCTAATTTTCTCTTCAAATCCCAATAATTCTAAACTTTGATGTTTAATCTTAAAACCCCAGTAATATTTGAATTTTCCCATCAATTCAACCCCAGTAACATTGAAAATTCCTTATCAAATCACAGTGATTTGTACAAATCATAAACAAAATACTACAAACAAATAGGAAGAAGTTTTCTCAAAAAAACATACAATTATAAAATCAAAATGAGAATGTATAATGTTAGACAACCAAAACAAAGATTAAAACACAGTTATAAGAAAGTACCTGAGTAATTTGGGTGAATTACTTCTAATCTGCCATGTTTGCCGAGTAGATGATGAGTTTAAGGGGAGAGAAAGAGAGGGTTATAAAGCTGAGAAAAAACGGGATGTTTACTGGTACAACTGTACAAGTATTTTAGAATTCGTAGAATTCGAATTGGAATTTGCAAGTAGAAGTATATGGCAAAAAGTGGTGGAATTAAGACAATTAATACGTGTGCGAGTCATGTAATGTTAAAAGACTTAAAACCATATCTTACGCCATGTCATGTGAGGGATTCAGGAGTGGAGTGAGAATGGGAGGATTGTCACTCACTTACAATACTTCCTTCATTTTATTAATATTGCAATAATGGATTTTTAGCACTATTTATCACTCTTGTTTGACCATATAATATGAGTTATACGTTAAGCAAAATATAGTCAAGCGGGATCTTGTTGGATTCGTCTCATAAAATACTTTCACAATATTAATTTTTTATAATTTTAACTCTTACACAATTATAGATATTTAGCATATAAAGTGTGTTTTGGGATGCGTAATTTCCTCCTTGTTGCAATATTAACAGAACGTAGGAACTATTATCCTTTGTCCCATTAAAATTGCCACCTAAATTGTATATGAATAATATGATACTCTCTCCGTCCCTAAATTACATTCCTCCTTTCTATTTTGGGTATTCTAAAATTACATTTCACCTTTTTATTTTTAGTAAGTTTTTTATTCTAAATATTCCAAATACGCTCTCTTTTTCGGTTGTACTTTTAATGTAAAATTAATGTATTTACATTCCACTTTTAATGTTTGGTTGACTAATGTAATTTTTCAGCCTTTAATTTTTATAATCCTTGTACCAAATTACAATGAATATGATTGGTTAAAAAATTTCAATTAGGAGCATGTGATTGGTCCTTTTTTTTTGCAAAGGATTGATGACATGTCATAGTAATCACTAATCTATCTTTGTTTTACTCAAAAATATTATCTAATGTTTTGTACTTCCAATTGCATTATCTAATTATTGTTATTTGTCTTATTCTTTCCTCCTTAATTCCCGTGTAAATTTCCAAACATGAATGTAATTTAGGGACGGAAGGAGTAATAGATAACTAATTTTGCTCTTTAGTGATCATTTTGCTTTTGTAATGTATGTCCAATTATAAAGGATTGTATCTTACCAGAGTTACAAATTACTTTTTTTTGTATACAAGAAAGCCAGAGTTACAAACATACGTATATCTTGGTTTAAAAAAAACATATGTATACAACCATACGTTATAGAATCAATTTGGGTACTATTATTTCAAATTTGCACATAACATTTAACAGAGGTAGTATATATTATAGATTAAAAGCAAATTAAGTACATGTAAAACAACTTTACAGCTTCAACTTATTGATAAATCAGCAATTGAAGAGTGCTCCGTATACAACAATTGAATTTTCGTAGAAAAATATTTTTATTTGATTCAATTAATATGTGTACAACACTCCTATAATTTTGTAATAGTGATATGAAGTAGCATATATAATACGAAAAACAAGGAGACTTTTTTTTTCCTTGATGAATACTTTTCATTTCTTAAGAGAAAATTGCCTAATTTCACATAATAAATTAGTGTAAAATGATCTTATTCAAGACAAATAAAGATGAACAAAATGTAAGTACTCCTTATTAAAGAGTTGTATTTGTAGTGCTATATATCTGATTAAAAAATAAAAACGAAGTATATATACATCTAGCTTTATTTTCTGTATAATTCTTTAGGTACATGTTCATCTCAAAGTATTTCAAATATAATATTAATAAACAATGGTGGTTTAGATAAATTATTGGTAATTGCGATGCATTTGGTACAGTGGGAGATTGGGAGCACCGACTATAACAAGTGCTCTGCACTGATCCCATCCAGATACCATTTGTTCTAATAAATGGAGAGGTCTTTTTCATACAACGTAGTCCATATTCATTACTCACTAGTAACTCCACAGTCCATGTCTTATGCATGCTTCCTCCGTCCCATTGAAATTGCTTCATTTAATTACGGAGATTATACAAAGAGTTTTTTTTTTCAAATAAAACAATATTATCATGGGAGAACGAAGTACATCATGTATTGGTTCATCCTATTTATTTGGAGGAAGTACTAAATGAGGTTTGATATGTATATGCAAGTGCATAACATGGCAAAATTGTAAATAAAGAGCCACTTTATTGTAACGGTTTGTGGAAATGGAGGGAAAAGGTGAACGGAATAGTAAAAAACTTGTAACGGTGTGGGACCCATAGCTGATTAAAAAAAAAACAATTCACCCTTCCCCACCAGTTGTACTTCCTGAGAGAGAGACCCACTGTAATTTTGAAAAAAAGAAGCTTCTTCCTCCAAAAGTTAATGTCGAAAAGCTGACCAACTTTTCTTCCATTGTTGAGCTCCAAAAAACCTTAAAAATGGAGTTTAAAAAATAAAGAAAAAGTTACAGTATTCTCAGTTGGAGTGTAATGGAGTATTTGTTGGAAACAACTGAGGATATCGAGCGGTACAACAGCGGTGGTGAGTTAGGTCCGAGCATCCCAGAGGCCGTAGATGACGACTGTGGAGAAGTGGACTGCGCAGCGGCATTGGAGTTGCTTTTAAATCAGGTGACTGTTTAATTGCTTAAATTTGGATATGTAATTCTGGGTTTGTCTGAAAATTGGGGGGAAGGGGAAATTAGGGTTTGTAAATTTACAATCGTATGAAAAGTTGCATAATTGACTTCGTTGTGCTGCGCAATTGTATGAGAAATTTGCAATATATACATGTAACTTGATTGGTTGTATTGGTATGTCATGTAATTGCTCAGAATTGCATCGTCCTCCCTGTAGTCAGTGCTCTCTGTTAGATGATCATGTACTTTTCGTTTTACTTATTCCGACTAGTTGTGTGAGTATATGTTATTGTTAAGTGCTCAAAATTTTTAGACCTAATGTTTAATGCTGACCTTTGTGAGGTGAATGTATTATGTTATGGTGTACTAGGTAATTGTAGGGGAGGAGTCCTTTAAGACTCCAACGAAAGGGAAGGGCAATGTCTCCATCAGTATTCAGATTGAGGAGGCTGGTGAAGTGGAGATGGATGTTGCTTTGCCACCTCCATCCATTGGAATGGTTTTTGAGTCCATGATAGAAGTGGATAAGTATTTCAGGGAATATGGGCAGCAGAATGGGTTTGGTGTTGTGCGTGCAAGCGGTGCAAATAATGGAAAAGGGGCAAAGAGGAATTGTAGGTGGACATGTGAAAGTTATGGAAGGCCTGGTCGAAAGAGGAAAAAGAGTGAAGTGGGTTTAGTCACAGATGCTCAAATCAGTGAGGATGAAGAGTTGTGTCCTAAGCGAAAGTCAAAAAAATGTGAATGCCCTGTGTTTGTATATGCACATGTGAATGGTGTAGGTCAGTGGGAGATAACAAAGGCAAAAATGGAACATGATGGGCATAGTCCAACCCCTAGTAAAGCGAAGAGTATAAGTAAATTTCGGAAGAAGTTTTTGGTGGAAAATCCCCATATTGTGAAGCAGCTATTTCAAGAAAGAAGGGCAGGGGTGCCAGTTTCTACTATTTACAAAAGTATGGCTCGGCACAGGAATGGGTTGGAGGGGATGCAGTTTGAGCAAAAAGACTTACATGATGAAGTGTCTAAGGAAAGGAAAAGGGTATTTGAAGAAGGTGATGCAAAAGCCATGTTTTCTTACTTTAAGAGAATGGTAGATGACAATTCAAATTTCTTTCACACATATCGAGTTGATGAAGAAGGAAGGCTTAAGGATGTGTTGTGGGTAGACGCAAGGAGTAGGGTGGCTTACGAAGAGTTTGGGGATGTAGTTGTATTTGATTCCACTTATTTGACTAATGAATACAAACTTCCTTTTTGCAACTTTGTAGGAGTGAACCATCATGGGCAAACCATTCTTTTTGGATGTGCGCTTGTCACCCGTGAGAATGCTGAGACTTTTGAATGGGTGTTCTCAAATTGGCTTCGATGCATGGGCGACAAAGAACCTATTGGGATCCTTACTGACCAGGATCCGGCAATGAGGAAAGCTCTGAAGGTTGTTATGAAAGGAACAACCCATAGATGGTGCATTTGGCACATCATTAACAAGTTTGGAAAGAAGTTAGGCAAGCATGTGAAGTACCAGGAGCTGAAGGAGGCGCTGAAGCATGCTATTTATGATAGTCTTGATTGTGAGGAATATGAAGAACGTTGGCGTGACGTTATCAAGAAATTCGAAGTTGAAGATGATGAATGGTTGGCATGTAAGTAAATGTGAATGTATTTGCAAACTAAGCTTAGTTCATCTGTTAAAATTTAGTTGAATTGGAGACATATTTTGATTCTAGTTTAGTTTTGTGTTGGTGTTTTGTATTTTGAAATGCTGTCTTCGAGCAAAATGTTTGTGTTGGTGTTTTGTAATATGAAATGCTGATTTTGTCGTTTTTATATTTTTAATTTTTGGAGTCATCAATTTTGCAGCAAGTATGTCTGGTTTTAATGTAATTTTAGTAATTATAATTGCTGTTTGTCAGGCTTGTATGAAGAACGAGCAATGTGGGTTCCAGCGTTTGTCAAGCATTTGTTTTGGGCTGGGATGAGGACCACGCAGAGAGTGGAAAGCATTCACAGCTTCTTTGATGGATATCTAAGTAGACACACCCTGCTGCATGAATTTGTTGAGCGTTACGTTGAGGCTCTTGAGGTTAGAGCTACAGCTGAAAAGAAAGTTGATGATAACAATGCGAGATATGTGAGGAAGGCTTACAGTGACTTCCCAGCTGAGCTTATATTCCAGAAGATCTATACCGATGCAAAATTTAAAGAAGTCCAGCGTGAATGTAGCCGGTCCCTTTATGTTAGTCCAATTGAAAAAGGACTTGTTTCTGAGAGTATCATTGAGCATGTTGTTGAGGATAGAGTTTGGTACAAGCCGAAAAACTGTACGAAGGAGAAACCTTCAAAGCGGAAGCGGAGATACAAAATAACCTTCGATTGTGTTTCTAAAGAAGCTAGTTGCAACTGCAAGCACTTTGAATGCCACGATATTATTTGTCGTCACATCATCAAGGTTTACAAGCTGAATGATCACTATGAGATACCTGACAAATTCATTCTTAGGCGTTGGAGGAAAGATGTGATTAGGAAGCACACAAGGGTTAAGGTTGCTTACCATGACCCAAACAAGACTGACGAGGTTTGTAGGTATGATAAAATGATGGTCAAGTTTGGTTCACTTAGCACGAAGGCCTGTGTTTATAAAACCACAACTGATCTAGTGATCCAAAGCCTGCAATTATTAGAAATTCAAGTGGATGAAAAGCTATCGATGATCAATGGTAGTAATGCACAAGGAGAAGGACGAGGGGAGAAGGGAACTCCTGTTACCCCTTCCACACAGAGACAAGGTAGCTGCTCTGAGGTACCAAAGGATCCCCCAATGCCGAAGAGGCCTGCTCACAGAACAACTGCTGTGAGATTCCCTTCTTGTGTTGAGAAGTCTACAAAAGGGGGTAAGACAAACAACAAGAGAAATACAAAAAAATCCTCACAGGTTGAAAATGATTCACAGTGTACACCTTCATATGCTACACCTTCATATTCTCAGGTTATCTTTCGTTTAGTATTTTAAGTTTTTTTTTATGGTTGTTTGATAGTTTGCAATGGGTTTGTGTTTTATGGTGTGTTTTGTTGGTGTGTCTTGTTTTGTCTATTGTAGATGGGTCCACCACACGGTTTTGTGTTTCCTTACAGCCCCCACTCTATAGGAGGCATCCAGATGGTGGATGCTGATGGATCAATAGGGTATTTCTCTGGTGTGTCAGGTGCGAATACCCCCCATACTCCATCAGCCAACATGTCGGGGACTGATGGACAATCTGTTTACCATCATCACTACAGACCAGTCATTCCATGTACAGAGGCGGTGGCGACCCCTAGTACCCCTAATTCTGCAACACCACCTGCTTCCGGAAATTACAGACCCATTGCTCCTAAGCCTGTGTTCCTACCCTTTGGTCCTTACCACCATCAGCAGTATGTTCAGGCTTACCACCATCAATATCTACATCCAAACCAGCATCCTCATGAACTCCGTATTCGTCCTAACGGCACTAACCAACACGCTAATGGTACAGCCAATACCCAAGTGACGATGTCTGCAAAGTAGTGAAATCGTAATGATGAAATGCAATACATGAAGAAAATGGTGTAATTATTTTGCTCATGTGTAATAGAACTTTTATGTTAGCACCTGGGGTATTTTTTTGGAGGATGACATTATGTATTTGTGATCTGTAGTACATTGATCCCCTTTTTTGCGAGGGTGTGTGTGTGCACATTTAGTTGTTTTTTGATGTAAAAGATCAAACCCTCTAACTATATGAATAAAATCGGTGCCTCGAAATGGATAAAATTGGGTGTAAGAATTGTCTAACATTTATTTCTTTTTTTATCTAAAAGATCAAAGCCTTTTTTTTTTGCGAGGGTGTGTGTGTGCACATTATGTTGATCGTGTATATTTACATTCGAGAAAAAGATTACAGTTGCAATGAATAAAATCGGTTGTACTGAAAATGCAAAGGGTTCAACCGGAACAGAAAAGGGTACCACTTAGCATGGAATAAACTTTTGTTATACTAAACCACCAAAGAGTACAACTGAAAAGGAGAAGGGTACCACTAGCATGGAAACGGAATAAACTATTGTTATAGTAAACTATCATGGAAAAATATTTGTCATATACCTGTCCTGCTTTACATGCAGAGGGTACAACTGAAAAGGAAATTGGTACCACCTGAATATACAGACGGTAAAAGGTTCAACTGATATTGAGAAGGGTATTATTTAATTAAGTTTACTATTAATGTAAATAACCTTTGTAAGTTATACTACCATGACGAAGGGTTCAACTGAGATTGAGAAGGGTACCATTTGATTGTGTTACTAATTATACTCACCTTATATAGTGGATGTTAATAAATAACCTTTTGGCTTCCTTTGGATTAGTACTTGTACACTTAGTTATGGGGACTAACTGATTAGTACCAAAGAAATGATTTTAACAATTTTACACCTGAGAAATTGATACTCAAATATAGTGTTTGTTTGTATTTGCACTTGTTGTTTGTATTTGCACTTGTTGTTTATACTAACATATATTGTATTTGTTCATTATTACATAATTGTATTTCCGTTACAACCTAACTGATTTACAAACTAATTTAAATCTAACATTTAGGACATATTATGTAGTTATTGTGAAGGTATTGTACCCATTCAAACCTATTTCGCGTTTTTTTGTCTTGTTATATACTTATATGAGCAATTCATCCATATGTTACTGGGCTTATTTTAACATTACTATAATTTACAGTTATACCACTACAGTTACAAAGCTTTCACTAGGTAAATGTTTATCTGTATATAACAAAAGTATCGTTAACTGCATGTAGGGTACTATTACTCTGTTTAGGGTTATGGGTTAGGGTCTAGGGTTTAGGGTTTAGGGTTGGTTAGGGTTTAGGGTTTTATTTTCATAAGTTACACAAGTACGCTGGGGAGAGGAAAAGAACCACTGGAATACCAAAAAATCCAACTTGTATTGATTTTAACTATGAACTGGAATAGTCATGTAGTCCATTAAAACTTTGTAGGGTACTACTAGAACTATATTCATGCTTCTCCATCTCTAGCTGTGTTGTGTTGCTGTGTTGTAGTAAATTATTGGCATTACTTGAGATGATTTTACCCCAATTTGAAAGTCCCTAAAAATACAAAATATCCAGATACCAAATTATGTTCGCGTTCCATTTGATGATGAAAACTATCATGTTTATTGGAGAACTGACTTCTAATTTTGTTGTGAAATGATAAGTCTTACATTGCGCCTGAATGACTATTGCATTAATTGTATTCGTGGTGAAGCTTGATCTTGGATGTTTTTAGCATTGATTTGTCATATTGTTTTCATTTAATCGTTTTAATTAGTTCTTTAGTTATTGATTCTCATTCATTTTATTTTGTTACTTGGTTGAACCATATGTTCTTGGGACTATTTAATTGGTTGAACCATATGTTCTTGGGATCCGACCCTTGCTTGTCCGTCTACATAGTAGTTGTGTAGTTAGGTTTATCTTTGTTAGGTAGTGATTTTGTGATGCACATATACCGAAAATAGTTTGTCATTTTTTGTTAATCGTAATACCATCATTAGCAGAGAACTCCAATTGTAGCTTGATTTTCTATTAACCGTCTTTATCGGAGATCCATTTTCTATTAACCGCATTTCTTAATAAGATATACCATTTCTAAATGCCTTAACACCATATCAATACATCTTCCCATGCATGAAGGTTGGTGTTACACCCAATTTCTTATAGTGCATACATTGTCCATTGTCGTAAGATCATTTGTCGTACTTATTAACTACAGTTGTCACAATATTAGTACCACTGCAAGTAAATATAAACCGTTGTAGAGCATACTTTGTCCATTGTCCTAAGATCATTTGTCGTACTTATTAACTACAGTTGTCACAATATTAGTACCACTGCAAGTAAATATAAACCGTTGTAGAGCATACTTTGTCCATTGTCCTAAGATCATTTGTCTTACTTATTAACTGCAGTTGTCACAATATTAGATATTAGTACCACTGAAAGTAAATATAAACCGTTGTAGAGCATACTTTGTCCATTGTCCTAAGATCATTTGTCTTACTTATTAACTACAGTTGTCACAATATTAGTACCACTGCTAGTAAATATAAACTGTTGTAATCTGTTTATGTACAGTTAGGGGTTGTACCAATGTTACTTATTCAGAGTAATTATAGTACCATTGGTTGTAGTTAAAGTACTACTGGAGGTATACAACTGCAATTAATTTTGATTTATAAAGGCGGGAGTTTTGGTAATACTTTCCCGCCCACAGATTTTTGTGCTCTCTTCAAATATAGGGGAGAGGGATTTCAAAGAAAGTTGCATAAAACTTTTTGGAATGTAAGTGGTTGTCATTAAGTCAAGAGAGGTGGATAGTTGATCACGAAGAAAGGCAGAAGGCATACATATTCCGTCTGTGTAGTACTCATGGGTAGCAAAGTATGGAGTGGAGTTGAAATCAAGTTCAGGGGTGGTAGTGGTGGCGAATGGCCGGAAGTACATGACAGGTGTGGTGGGGTGTGGTAATACCGGCCTTCCCCAAGCCCTTCTTGATAAGTTTTGCGAGCTTGACATGGTGACTGTAAAGGAAGGACTGTAAAGGAAGGACTTAGGAACAAATGAGAGGAAGGAGTAGTTTAAAATTCAATCCACAATAACATAATTAATACTGGGAAAAAAGGGGAAAAAAATCCCATGAGATCTTCAATCACAGAGGACTTCTAATTTTAAATATAAAATAAAGAAAGGAAGTACATCTACGAAGCTAGTTTTGTTCAACTTCAGAAGCAAAGTTTCTTATTGACAAGACAATACACCTGCAATGACAGTACAAATTTGGTGTTGGGCTCAATGCATTTCTCACATTAGTTGAACACATTTAGGAAGGTAAGACTCATTTATGTTACAGTTGAATTGCACTATCAAAGTAAATGCAACCATTGGTGTTGGGTTGTTATATAATAGTCAACGACACACTGAAATTAAATCACCAATTCCCCCATAAACTAAACTAAAAGGTCTCCACCCAGCACCATTGGTAATGGCGAATAGAGGTATCATAGTTAACTCATGAAATTAAGTTTTTGTGTGTATTCCTTTTGACTGTTTACTTTCTATTTGTTATTGCTAACGCTTTATTTGTTCAAAACTGATGAAATTATTTGTTCTAAACTAATGAGTAGTAATCTTAGTACAACACACAATTCCCAGCGAAACTAAAATCATTGTAAGTGAATTCTATTAGCGATTCTAATGCTTCAACTACTATTCTGTTTGTATTGTCACCAATTCTAATGTCACCATGCGTGATATATTTATGTGTGAGCAAGAGTTATTGTCCTCTCAATGACATGAAAATTTGCATGAATATAAAGTACTATTAGAAGAGTGTAGTCCTACTACAATAATTGATTGAAGTGTCTGTTGGTCATGCAGGTAATAGAGAATCTGAAAGACGACGTAAGAGAGTGCTAAGGAAAGTACGCAAGTTGAAAAACGCTGGACATCAAGATCCCAATGGTATCATTCGGGATATGTATATGCCTAGGCGTAGCAAGGAATTGATGTTCAGTCATCGGTTGGCAACCATTGCTAGAGGGGGTTTACACGACCCTGTTAAGGGAATAGATTTCCACCCCGAATACCCTTTCCTAACATTGTTTAGAGTAGGGCGGGCTAGGTACTTTCGAAAAGAAGCGTATTGTTTCATGTATTATTTGGTAGATGTGGCAAAGATAGCCGTCTGTTTCAACTTGCGCACTTTAAGAAGATCATTAGCAGAGTCATATGCATTCCCTAATTACCACATCTACCTTAAAAAGTTTTTCGAGTTTTTTGCTTACCTAGAAGATTGGTGGCTGGAGGTTGATGAAGCTGTGGGAAAGGAAGAGGAATGGGGAATTGTTCTACTTGGGAAAAAATTTACAACACCAAAGGGGGGTGACATCAAAGTTACTTGGAAGTGGCTGCAATACTCAAAAGAAGACCCCCTTAAGAAAATGGCGAATGATACCGAGCAATTGGTTTGGTTCAGAAGGACAATGCTAGCTGAAAATGGATTACAAGAAGATGAAAACATGTCTATTAATATAGCTCGACCATTTCAATACACCGACTACCCCAGTGCCTATGTGAACCGCATTCAGCATGCCCAATACCTGTTCGAAACCAACTCAAACACTGATACCTCAGAAGAAGGGTTTGGATGGACCTCGGAATCAAGTTTCGAGTTCTGTTGAATAAACTTTAGGGGTATTATCTAATATAGCATATAACTATGTTGTGTTCTAATTTCTTTTGAATTCAGTAGTAGAAAAGTGGTAGGAATGCTAGTATGTTCAAAATTAAGAATAATACATGATGTTCTCGTTTGCATAGTTAATTAAGCAAAACACTGCTACTGCCTAGCACAGTATTTTCAGTACCAAATTCTGAGTAACCAAAACACAATTCAGGTTAACCAATATTTTTCAGAAAATTTGAAATCAAACGCCTAAAAACACTAGTT